ATTCCCTACTCTTCACTTTCCATGCCTCATTATCCTTTACCAGTTCCTTGATGTGTGCCTCCTGTATCCTTACCTTATCAGTCAAGCTATTAATTTCCTTACCTTGCTGGAAAATACTTCCTTTTAAATTACAAAACTCAATCTTGAGACCTACATTTTCTTGTTCTATTTAAATTACTTTTTCTTCATATTTCTTTAGCATGTCCTCAATAATCACTAACCTGACAAGAAAACCACCTTTCTTTGCATCTTGTTGAGAGAAACCTGCAAAATATTCCTTTGATGGAGTACTGTCTACCCCTGTGGTGGCGGCCATCTTTGTTGACATTCTGCTGTTTTGAAAGATCAACTTTTCTACCACAGATTTTTCAATCACTAGCACTTATTTCTTATCTCTTAGTTTCTTTTTAAATTCCCTACACCTTCATGTATTCTGGGACACCACTTGCAGCCCTCACCCTACTCTCAACACTTAGATAATTTGAATTCTCCTGGAGCCTGCAGCAGTGTGACTTCAGTGTAATGCTCCACTCTGTACAGAGTGAGTGAGTCATGTATGTGTTACTGTTAGAATTTCCTTGGGATATTCCTTCATGAGAGGCATACCACCAACATCTCTACGACCATCTCTTTGATAATCTTCTTCATAGCTTCTGACACAACACTGATCTTGGAACTCGAACGCTCATCCGCTCCTGACAACCCTGCTGCCCCTCCAACTTTATCAGCTGCTCTTTGAGCCCACAACATCCCAAACATGATGTAACAACCCCAGAAGGCAGTTAAGTACCCAGTGACCTAAATGTGATAGAAATATATGACAAAACCAACCTACTGGCTCATCTCGACCTCATTAGTGTTGCTCCCCGGAGGAAGCTGAACCTGACGTTCGCTACTGCCACATCAACGAGTCTACCCCATCTGCCTGCGTACATTTCTCCTGCTACCATGCAAAACAATTCTAAGCTTGGTAAGGCCACAAAGAAAGATAGCATACCTATCAGGATGAACCCAACCAGCCAAGCTAGCAACAGGAATAATGCGGCTGTCACCCCCTTAGTGGCTGCTTGGGGGGTTGGTTGGTTACCGACGCTCCCTTCGACACCAATAACAAACCTTCCCAGCTGAGTGGAGCGTCGTCACTGACTCGAGCCATGTAACATTTATGTAACCATATGGAGCAACTTAAACGAGCTACCTCCTCATGTTCCGACTTCAAGCGTTTTGCTGATTTATTTATTTATTTTTTATTTATTTATGCATATACAAGAATGTACATAAGGAATGTGAGGATACAAATATGGTAATTACAGTCTTGTAAAGCCACTAGCACGCGCAGCGTTTCGGGCAGGTCCTTAATCTAAGAAAATTTTAAGGAAGTAAATACTTGCAAAATTTATAGACAAAAAAATGATAACAGATTACATGGAATGAAAAAAAAGATGAGAGAAAATTATAGGTACAGTATATTAAAGCACATAGGTAGCTATGATTGATTGCAATGACAGCTTAAAATGGTAGTTGACAACAAATTGGTAGGCACAATACAGCAGAAACAATATAAGATTGATTGCAATGACAGCTTGGATGGTAGTTGACAAAAATTGGTAGTCACAATACAGCATATGGCTAGCACATAAAAGAAGACAGCAATGAACACAATTATAAGGTTGTTTGATATTACATAAAAATTAGGAGATTGGGTAACACTAGGTACAGAGCAAATTTAAAGCTCAGTGTAGGAAACTAAATAGATGAAGTTAGGTACTTTTTGGTTTTGCTTTTAAAAAAGGCAAAAGTTTTACAGTTTTTCAATTCACTAGGGAGTGAGTTCCATAGACTAGGTCCCTTAATTTGCATAGAGTGTTTACACAGATTAAGTTTGACCCTGGGGATATCAAAGAGATATTTATTTCTGGTGTGGTGATAATGGGTCCTATTACATCTGTTAATCCATGGCTCAAATTATGATGACCAAATCTCTGTAATCCGAGAGCAGTCGGACTTGATAATGAACCTACATGCTTTGGCCATGCACAAGATTAACCAAGATATGTGTGCCAGAGTCGGCCACCTCGAACAGGAATTAAGCTCACTTCAGATCTCGGTTACTAACTTTAAACCAGCAGAAACCTCTACAAAGCAAGAAGAGATGTTACAAAAGTTTGAGAACCATTTTAACTCCCTACAACAGCAACACACTGCAACCCAAGACGAATCAGACCAACTTAAGCTCCTTGATTCTGTCATCATCTCATCACATGATTTTTCCCATGAAACTGACAGAGAAGACTGTGCTGACATCGTGATCCAGGAATTGCATACTAAGATGAATTATTCAATCCAAACAAGTGACATCAAGTCAGCTTATAGAGTAGGTACGAGATCATCTGGTACAAATAACAGAAAAATTTGTGTGAAATTAGATAGCTGCTCCCGCAAGTCAGACCTTATCACTGCTGCAGTCGCTAAGAAATCCACTGTTTATGTGAACAAATGTCTAACCAGATTCAGACAAAATCTCTTATTTAAACTACGTGGAATCTGCAAAAGATCCATTGCTATTAAACATTGTTTTTTGTGAGATGGTAAAATAATAGCTAGGAAGACTGACTCTGGAAAAACTTATGTCATAACCACTGAGGCACACCTCACTTTTTTCCTGGATGACTGTGGGATATCAGCTGAATAACCAGAACATAAATTTGTAGTCTCACATACTACCAAAGTGTACTTAAGCTCTGCCTTTCCTTTCCAAAGGTTTTTTATTTTTATATTTTTTTTTGTCATCTTTGTTGTTGACATTTCTTGTTTTTTACTCTTAATTATTTGTTCTTAGTTAATCCCTTGTCACTAAACCTAGGGTTCTTTATTACCCTGTTATATTTAAAGTAACTTGGAATTTGTTTCTTAGTAATCATTTATTGGAATTAATTAATAGTATAATTGTTTATATAAGCATCTACCTCAGTATCATAGTAAAATCTTCCACATAAATATATTCTCACCCTGTTTATTTTTACACTTAGATTTATATTAGAGTAAATTTCTAGATTTACTTAGATTTATGTCATTTTTTTATTTTTTTTGGAATTATCTATTTGAGCTCACTTTGTTTTCTTAGGTTCATACTAATTATAGGATTTTAATTAGCCATTACTAAGTTAATTATCTTTAAGATCATTTTACTTTATGATTATTATTTTTCATATTATTTTTTATTTTACATTTATATTGTCAGTCTTTACTGATTTTTTGTTTTATTCTTTTATCTAACTTCTGTGTCTTGTGTATTTGCTTCTATTCTTGTGTTTTGCTATAATTACTTTGTTTTTACAGCAGATTTAGTATTTAACTGTTTCTGTAATCTTACAAATGCTATATATTTAATATACCTACAATTTTCTCTCATCTTTTATTTTTTCTTGCTATGTAACTTTTATCATTTTTATAAATTTTGCAAGTATTTACCTACTTAAAATTTTCTTAGATTAAGGACCTGCCCGAAACACTGCGCGTACTAGTGGCTTTACAGGAATGTAATTGCTGTGCTATGTATCCTCACAATCCCAATGTACCTTCTTATATACATATAAATAAATAAATAAATAAATAAATAAATAGCTGTTTGACATGCTTTTCTCATACTCTTCTGGGCTGTACCGGTCTTTGCTGCTTAATATACACAGTACTGAGGAACACCAGGCACCACAAAGTGCTTTCTATCTACCGTGGTGTCTGGAAATGTTTCTGCAGGTGTGAGTGCTGAAGATCAGAGCAGAAGAGGCATGCATCAAACATGGTGGCTACTGTGAAAATGATACCCAGGTAGAACACCAGGAAAAGATAGATTTTTGTTCATGATGGTGGTTGATAACCAGACATCTATGAATGAATAATATAACCCACATTGGGTGAAATCATCTGTAGACAATTGGAACAGAACAAAGATTAATGCATTCAAGTGTTTTCTGTAATTTTTCTGGCTCATTTGTATTTCCAAGCTCCAACTATAGTCTCATATTCTGTTGTCCCTCGCCTGGAAAGCATTATCTGCTTTGACAGTTCACCTCAATGTTCACAGGGGGACTTGGCCTAAATTATTTTAAATTATTATTCTTGACTGCAAGTGCCAATTCCTAAAATGGACACCAGAGAGCAACATTGCCTCATTATGGCAAGAAATTCCACATTACGGCCATACACATATGTTTCAAGTTTAAAGGCAAACTTAATTAATATAAATTCTACAAATATTTTCCCCAAATAACAGTGACGGAAAAATATCATGCGAGAGAAACCATAAAGAATTCTTCCTTTTGACAGGGATACCAGCTTGTTATTTTCTAACAATTATAATGGATGAAAGAACTTAACTTCTCCAACAATTTGGCTAAATATGAACACCTGTATCACTTAATACAAAATATTTAATATTAACTACTAATCAGTCTTATTAATGCATCTCTACATGTATGATCATTCTGACCTTCCCAATCATGTTCAAGACTGTACCTCTCTTAACCAGTTTAAGATAAAAACTAAGCACTACCTAATTAACTCCCTGTAAAGCTACCTTACCCCTATAATGTCAACCCATGTCTGTTATTTTTAAACAATGCTGTTTGTCGACCAAATTATATTTTTGCTGTTTTCCTGCCATGTTCCCCCCTTTTTTATTTTTTTTATTTTCTCAACACATTTTGTACTTTAATCTCAATTAGTATTAAATTTTAGTCTTTACTGTTTTTCCTGCCAGAAACGCTTTGTGTAATAATGGCTTTAGGCATTGTATATACTAGCTCTATCAATAAATTCATCAATATCTGTATCACCCCTTGTATGTATGTACTTTACCTAAATAAACATTTGAATTTTTTTGAATTTTTTTCTGTATAAGTTTACTTACTCTTTCAGTTTGGTGTCATTTTTGACATATGATATGTTTTCCCATACAAAACTTTATAATTAAAATAAAAAAGTGTTAATATTATATTTACCTGAAATTGTTCTAAAATTGTGTTCAGTCAATCGGATTTCAGCAGTAAAAACTGCAGAGGAAGACGGTTCTTCTAATGAGAAGTGTTGGGCAATAATGTCACCTGCCTTTAAGATAACATCAGGCCCAATAACAGCAGATTCTGCAAACCATCATTTTGTTTATTAAAACAGGTCTATAGTATTAAATATAATTTCAGATAATTTTATGAGAAATTTGAATACAACTTTGAGTAATAAAGCACACTGTCTTCTTGTTTTCATGGTTAGATAAGGAGCAACTGATGTTGTACATATAACCCACTAACTGCTCAACTTCACTAAGAAAGTGATAGGAAAACAGTTTTGTCAAGAATGAATCCTGCCTAACACTCCTGCTAATATTTGTGAAAAAACCCAGCGTTGAATGTAATGAAACACCATTTTCTGGGTGAGACCCGGAGGCTTCCCGGAGCCATCCAGCCTGATATGGAATTATTAGACTTTGGCATCAGTCAGTGTAAATGGAGTTCTTAGGCTTACTGGGGACCACGAGCTAGAACCTGGCCCTCTCAGAAAGGCACGAGGAGCAATGGCCTATAGAAATGCACATGTGATTTGGAGCATTCTATATGTCTGCTATTGACCAGGTCAGGTACCCAGAAATTTAAGCATCACAAAACAAACCCCTATTCTGGTTGAAACTACAACTAAAAGTCAAATGAGTGGACAGAACTCCCCAAAGAAAAACAAGCAAACAAGAATGACATCACCACATTGCCGCGCCGCCATTGGTGCAGCTTCCCCCTCCCTGGGAGGGAGAAGGAGAAGCCCCAGACCTCTCGTGCCGGCAACCCACACTTCCAATTCAAAGGCTGGGTGTCAAAACACTCAAAAAAAAACCGACCGGGGGGAGGGAGGGTGGGATGCCTAGGAGCCTCCGGGTCTCACCCAGAAAATGACGTTTCATTACATTCAACGCTGGTTTTCTGCGGGGAGCCCCTTCAGCTCCCCAGAGCTATAGTACTTACCAAAAGACAAAAACAAATGGAACTTACCCGGTAGGTGGTCGGCACTTGCCCCTCATTGCGAAGTCGAAACAACTGGCTGCAACCGCCGACCAAAAGCGACACAGGCCTGACTAGACCCTAGAAAACTGACCAGGTAGCACACAGCCAGGACCCCTGCTCGACCGCCAAAAACCTTGTGCTCGAATGTCAGCCCAAGACATGTTACCGAAGATGGCAGCAAGTGCAGCAAACTTACAAATATCATGGGCACAGGGATAGACTGCAGGCTGGCTAAACTGAATAACCCTGCAGACAACCTGGGAGACCCAGAACCTATCACCAGAGCCAAAAGAGCAGAAACCCATGCGCAGGAGGAGACCATGAAGCTCCCCGGCCCAACCCCCAGATTCCAATGCCAACAGGAAAAGATCCTTAGAGAGACAATTCTGAACTGAAGGGGCCACTACAAACCGAGGGGAAGAGAGATAAGAGAGCACCCTGTCCAATGACCAGGACGGCACAAGCAGTGAACGAGTAGGCCAGAGGTGAAACAATGCCCAAGACAGCTTGCAAAACGGTGCAGAAGTAACATCAATGCTGAAAGCAAGCTGCAGCAACTCCGCCAGCACCACACTATATGAGGCGACAGTATTCGGCAGAAGATGATGGTCCTGAAACAGCCACGAGAGAAAGGACAAGGCCACCTGAACAGAAAGCGAAATTCAGTGACACCTCAGCTAACAAATGCCCCTCTTTACAAACTTTTTGGGTTACAAACCCAATTCCTTCATAAAATCCAAATCAGGTTATGAACTTTGCCTCAGGTAACGAAATTTGTTGATACGCATATGGCCGACCGTGCGCGTGGTGGTACGGCGACTGCGCCTTAGCTTACCGGTGCCTCCCGCCTAGTGTCGATAACGCCTGAATTCTTTGTAAAGAACTTCAGTTTTTTTTTAATTTTGGGGTATTTGAACATAAAAGTTATTATTAAATATCTCACCATGGGTCCCAAGAAAGCCAGTGGTAAGGTTCAAGCTAAGAAATCGCAAGTGAGAATGACCATAGAGGAAAAACAAGAGATCATTCATAAACATGAAAATGGTACACAGGTTGTTGAACTAGCTATAAGCCGTACAACAAATCTATGTCATTGATATGCACTGTAATTGCTAAGAAAAGGACATTATGAGTGCTAAAGTGGCAAAAAGCGTATCAACAATCACGTAACAAAGAACAAAAACACTTGAGGATGTTGAAAAGTTGTTATTAATTTGAATACACAACAAGGAGATAGCAGGTGATAGCATCTCAGAGACCATCATTTGTGAGAAAGCAAGGCAATTGCATGAAGACCTTTAAGGAAAACCCCTGGAATGGGTGATGCAGATATGAAAGAGTTTAAGGCAAGCAGGACATGGTTTGAGATATTTAAGAAAAGAAGTGGTATTCATAGTGTTGTGAGGCATGTGGGAGACTACCAGCTCAGACAAACCACTGCCTGAAAGATTTGTTGACGAATTTAAAGATTTCGTAGATAGTGAGAGGGATACCTACCACAACAAGTGTTTAATATGATGAGACAGGACTATTCTGGAAAAGATTGCCTAAGAGGACATACATTGCCCAGGAGGAGAAGTCATTGCCCAGACACAAGCCAATGAAAAATAGGCTAACTCTTGTGTTGTGTGGTAACACGAGTGGGGATTTGAAAATTAGCCCTTGGGCCGTTAAGGGTCATAATGGCTTCAGCACCTACAGGTGCAACAAAAAAAAATTCCAAAAAATTCTTTCGTCGTATAAAAGTGTTTATTTGTGTTCTCTGATCACAGAAATAACAAAAAAATCGTAGGTGGCATATTTTGATCACAATCGGGTGGAGAAGTGTGGCAAAAAACAAGCGTTGAATGTAATGAAACGCCATTTTCTGGGTGAGCCCCGGAGGCTCCCTAGAGCTTATTGGGCTAATGTATGTTATATTAGACCAGGACATTAGCTAAGGAGTTCAGGCCTACCAGAGACCAGTGCCAGAACCTGGCCCCATCAGAGAGGTTTCAGGGAGCAATGGCCCTGGAAAACCCCCTTGTGGTTGGGGTTTTCCTTTCCTTATCTGCTATCGACTGGGGTTAGGCACCCAGAAAGGTAGGCATAACAAAACAAACCCCACATGGTAAAAAACCAGCGTTGAATGTAATGAAACGCCATTTTCTGGGTGAGCCCCAGAGGCTCCCTGGAGCTTATCGGGCTAATGTATGTTATATTAGACTGGGACATTAGCTAAGGAGTTCAGACCTACCAGGGACCAGCGCAAGAACCTGGCCCCTTCAGAGAGGTTTCAGGGAGCAATGACACTGGAAAACCCTCTTGTGGTTGGGGTTTTCCTTATCAGCCATCGACTGGGGTCAGGCACCCAGAAAGGTAGGCATGACAAAACAAACCCCACATGGTAAAAAATTAAACAAAAAACCGAACAGAGAGGTTGAAACTCCCTACAATCCCAAGGAAACAAGCAAACAAGCAAACATCACACTTTACTGCCAAGTCGATCGTCCGCCCAGCCCTCCCCACCCCGAGAGGGGGAGGGGGGAGCCCCGGATCTACCGCGCCGGCTGCCAAGCTTCAGTTCGTAAGCTAATGTCAACCAGGATAGACGCTTCTCTGGACTCAGTTTCCTAGGTGGTGTTTGCCTTGTGTGGCATTCACTGCCGTGTGTTGTGTTGTGCAGTGGCCAGGAGTACCTCATCAGTGCCGGGGCTGCATGCGCTTAGTGGCTAACTTCCCTTAGCACCCTGTGAGTACTGCCTTTGCATAACAGGGTTATCTTCCCTGGGGCATTCGGGAACCATTCTCGTAGAGGTTCTTACTGATCGGCATTTGCCTCGCCCTTGGGGCCAGCTGGAGCTTGGGGCCCTTGTTTGGCCCTGGGTAGGGATTGATATTGTGCTGGTTAGGGCGTCAAGGTGTTGCGCGGCCTGCCACCTAAGCGACGACCGGTTCCTGTTCCCTCTGGAGACGGTGTACTTATGCGGGGTTTTTCTTTTGTTTTTATTTTCAATTGCCTGGTGGGGGTCTGCCCAGTGTGACTATAGTTCCACTGGTAGTGTTTGGCAGCCCACGGGGTTTCCCAAGGCTCTGAGACTGGTATTACTAAGGTTAAGCCCCAGGCAGGGTACTGTGAACTGGCTCCCATGTCTACCAATCAAAACTGCTAAAAGCTGGACTCCCAGGAGGTGTCCACTCACAGGGCCCAGCAAGGGGTACCATCTAAAAACACAAATATATAAAATCTATTTCAGAGACAGGGTGCAATGAACCAAAAGGCAGACCCCCCATACCAGGCAGGAAAACAAAAACAAAAGAAAAACCCAGCAAGAGGAAAATGTACCCAGGCAGAACAGAGCTAGTCGCTATAATAGCTGATAACTAATTGTGCAGTACTGTGCGCCCCTAACAGTGCAAATTACTCCTTACCCTAAGGAAAACAAGGGAGGAGGAAACCCCCCCACACACTCAGGGCAGTCAATTACTGAGCAGCAAAAGACCAACAGAGGTAGACCCCAAGGTGACTTGTGGAAGATAACCCCAAGCCCCAAGGGCAGTACTTACAGCGCACTTAGGGAAGGGAACCCTAAGCGCATGCAGCCCAAGTACCAGTGAAGATTACTCCCAGCTCACGCACCACCCTGAAGACAGCACTAAACACAAGGCACAGGACTGAGACAAGAAACGAGCTGGAGTTGCACGACCAAGCCTCAATCACATCATCCAAGAACTGGAGGTTCGGGTCACTGGCACAAGGGGTCTGGGGCTTCCCCCTTTCCCCCTCCTGGGGAGGGGGGAGGTGCCCAGAAGGCGGTGCGGCAATGTGGTGATGTCATGCTTGTTTGCTTGTTTTTCTTTGGGGAGTTCTGTCCACTCATTTGACTTTTAGTAGTAGTTTCAACCATAATAGGGGTTTGTTTTGGGATGCTTACCTTTCTGGGTGCCTGACTCAGTCGATGCCAGACATAGAATGCTCCAAATCACATGTGCATTTCTCTAGGCTATTGCTCCTCGTGCCTCTCTGAGGGGGGCCAGGTTCTGGCTCATGGTCCCCGGTAAGCCTAAGAACTCCATTCACACTGACTGATGCCAAAATCTAATAGTTCCATATCAGCCTGGATGGCCCCGGGGAGACGAAGGAGCTCCCACCAGAAAAGTAACGAACTTCACAGACATAGGATTTCCAGTTGATGTTGTATGCAGTACATAGATTTTTCTACACTTTTGAAATTGGCCCAGAAAGTACAAACACATGGAATCAGTGGTAAAATGTTGAAATGGATAAAAGAATGATTAAAACACAAAAAGCAATGGGCATCCTAAATGAATAACCTGAGATATCCTTCATAAGATGTAAGTAATTATTACCTTGTCTCCAACTAAGAGTGAGTACTTGAGATATCCTCCATAAGAGGTAAGTAATTATTACCTTCGTCTCCTACAACTAAGAGTGAATACTTGAGATATCCTCCATAAGACATAACATGGTTGCCAAGGTAAGCAGCAGGAGCAGCGAAAAAGACTTGTTTTTCTGAGAACTGATCATCTATGCCCTCCAAGTCCTGCTGTATAAGGTCCTTGTAATATGTTGGTAGTTCATCCAGTGAGTCAAAAGTGAGAGTTGTCTTTGATAGAGAGGAAAGCCCCTGCAGTGCCTGCTCCAGGACTACCACACCCCATGCAGACATATCATCAACCTGACCAAAAAACAAATAATTAAATACAAAGTTTTAATGAAAAATTGCATTTATAATCAAATATAAAAATATAATCTTTAATTTGTATTGAAAATATCAATCAATATGCCTGTATGCATTACAAGTCCATTGAAATCATAAAAAATTCCCAAAACAAGATAAACTGAAAGGAATGATATACTGTATACAGTATATGAAAAATTTACATAAAAATTTTATACAACATTCATTTTCAAATCCAGAATATTCTTATCTACACTATTTATCTAAAAGGATTCACTCAGGATTTCAGTAGTTTATTTGCACGATAACTCAAGCAGTCCATTTGGCTTGCTTAAGCAATCTGGCTGAGATTACTCCATGCAAATTGGTCACATCAGATGCAGGGGTTCTGTTGGCCTACCGAGTACCAGAGCCGAAACTGGCCCCCACTCACAGAGGCACACAGAGCAATTGACAATTTGCCAGCACAACAGAAAAGCATCCAGAAAGTTAGCGAAGCTAAACAGACAACTGGAGAGTTAACAAAGACCTAAGCTTTGGAAATGATAAAATAACTCTACAAACGATTCACACAGAACAAGATAAACATTCGGAATTAGCATGATACCCATAATACTGAATGCCACCACCAGGCATCCAGGGAGCTGAAGGATAAGTCATCATTATCTAGGTGATAGTGGGGGGTAAGAGATCAGTAAATGGTGTCCCTGCTATTTTAAACATTCCAAGATCAAGTTGTAGAAAGTGGGGTGGCAATTAACTGAAAGAACATATACAAATTTAGGAAGGTTTATGGGAGGCCTGTCACTCTGAAGAAGGCAAGACAAAATACAATGGCCGCCACCATGGACACTGATCTGTCAATATGCGAGACAAATTTCAAGGGAGTAATTGAGGAAGAGATAAGAAATGGAGGTCTTATGAACAGGTTAGTAAAAATTGAGGATTTGATAAATATTTATGAAGAACGTCTTATCATTGAAAGAACCATTTCTCAACAGCAAGAGGAAATTAACAGCTTCACAATCAAGGTGAGGGTCTGTCTAATTACCCAAAGTTACCAAAGCTGCCTAAAGCTTCCTAGCATTACATAAGTAATGAAGAAATATGACATATTTACTCTCTATAATGTTGGTGCTGATTGAAGAACATGAAAAAAAACAGCATTGAATGTAATGAAAAGCCATTTTCTGGGTGAGCCCTAGAGGCTCCCTGGAGCTTATCGGGCTAATGTATGTTATATTAGACCGGGACATTAGCTATGGAGTTCAGACCTACCAGGGACCAGAACCAGAACATGGCCCCTTCAGAGAGGTCTCAGGGAGCAATGGCCTTGGGAAACCCCCTTGTGGTTGGGGTTTTTCCTTATCTGCCATCAACCGGGGCTAGGCACCCAGAAAGGTAGGCATAACAAAACAAACCCACATGGTAAGAAACTAAAACAAAAAACTGTACAGAGAAGTAGAAACTCCCTATAATACCAAAGAAACAAGCAAACGTCACACTTTACTGCCAGGCCGCTCATCCGCACAGCCCTTCCCTCCCCGAGAGGGAAAGGGGGGGCCAGACCTCACCGAGCCAGCAGCATGGCACTCCAGTTCGGAAGAAAAGCTTCAATCCACACGAAAAACCGCCGATCGGTGGGAGGGAGGGTTGCCAGGGAGCTTCCGGGGCTCATCCAGAAAATGATGTTTCATTACATTCAATGCTGGTTTTCTGTGAGAAGCCCCCACGGCTCCCTGGAGCTACATACCCAAAGAGAAGGAAAAGAAAGGGCTGACCCGGGAGGTGGCTGCCACAAAGTCTGCAACGTGAAGTCAAGAAAACAGGCAGCAACCTGCGACCCAAAGCAACACAAGAACGCCCAGGAGCAGACATGCTCACAAAATAACTGGCGGCCAGAAACCTGTGCGACCTCCAAATACCCGTGCCCGAATTGAGCCCAAGACATGTTACCAAACATGTCAGCGAAAGCTGCAAATGTCTGAATGGCATGGGCGCAAGGATAGACCGCAGGCTGGTAGACTTTGGACCCCTGCGGATGGCCCGAGAGATACGAGCCCTGGAACAGGAAACGAGGGGAACCGCATCAACCCAAAGCGCATCCCCAGCCATGGCACACAGGTAACGATGAATAGCTGCAACCGAACACAACACATGATGCACCCCCGGCCAAACCAACCAAGCATAAAAAACCCTAGGACCCCTCCAGAAAGCAACCGTCTTGGCCTTCGCTAGAAAGATGGAGAAGACTGCAAACGTAGAAACCTACCACCAAAACCAAAAGAGCAGAAACCCCTGTGCAGGAGGGAAGCCAGAAACTCCCCAACTCGACCTGCAGAGGCCAATACCAACAAAAATATGGCCTTCGAAAAGCAATCTTGAACTGAAGGGGCTACCAAAAGCTGAGGAGAGGAAAGATAAGGGAGCATCCTGATCAAGGACCAGGATGGCTCAGGCGGCGCATAAGCAGGAGGTGAAACAAAAGGCGTACAGAACAGGGCGGAGCGGCGCCACCAGCGCCGCACGATACGAGGCGACAGTAAGAAGCATCAATTAACAGTCCTGAAAAACCAGGAAAGGACAAGATAACCCAATGTGAAAGCAAGAAAAAAGGCGAAAAGAAACGCCAGGAAGCTACATACTGTCACCGAAACGAAGCTTGCAGGTGGGACACCCTCAATGAAGCCACCTGATCACCATAGAGATGGTGATACACCTGGATCAAAAGACGCGAAGAGCTGAGGAGAAGGCTGAAACAGCCATGTACCAGATCGGTCCGACCTGCCTCGTGGCCAAGGGGCCACAAGGACTACTCACCTCGTGAAGGACTTCAAACGAGCCAGAACCCGAAGCAACAGCTGGACTGGGGGAAGAGGTATAGATAACTCCACCTCGACCAGTCCTTCCAAAAGGCATCCACCACGAATGCCTCACAGGTAGGAAAGGGTGCCACATAGAATGGGAGATGCCAAGACCACGCCGACGCAAAGATGTCCACATCCAGGAGTCCATATGTCCGGCAGAGCCAATAAACGAGTCGGTGACGACCAGCCAATCCATGAACAGAGGGATGGACCTGAGACAGGCCATCCACCAGGACGTTGGACACTCCCCAGACATGAAAAGCCCGGAGAGCCAAACCCAGAGACTCCAGCAGATGAACCACTCGAAGGGACCAACCCCCAAGAGGAAAGGACCGAAGAGAACCCCCACGGTTCCAGCAATGAACCACCAGAGAACAGTCTGAAGGAAGTTGGACAGGAGACCCCCGAGTGACCCGAACCCTCCAAAGCGCAAACTAAACAGCCGCGAACTCCCGAGCTGTGCTGTGAGCCCGACTGAAGGACCTGTCCCTGGCCGGCCTGGTGAGCACTGGTTACAAAGCCCCAGCTGAGAGACGACCCGTCCATGAACACATTGAGCGAAGGCTCGGGGAGGCGCCAAGGCACGGAAACCCGAAAACCCCGAAGAGGAAGCCGGCAACACAGCACTAACACAAGGTCCTCGGAGGACAAACCCAACGATTGCGAGACAGGCAGAAGGAATGTCCCTGGAAGGAACCAAAACAGACGCAAAGCTAAACCCGACCCAGCGGGTAGACCAGCATGGCCAAGTTCAGACTTTCGCACAACCGGTCGATCAACCGACGAGTGACCCAGGACCCCCCTTAGAAACAGCCGAAGGTGGGACTACAGCCACAGCAACGCCTCTAGAGGGAGAGACAAAGAAGGGTCCAAGAGTCCTAAACAAGACCCAGCCAGGTCTGAACCCGGGACGGAACCAGATGGAACATCCTCCAGTTCACCAAGAACCTGAACACTGGGATCTGGAAAGAACCACACCCCTGGCAAGCAGACTAGAGGACCGACTGGTAGCCCACACCAGCCAGTCGTCGAGGTAGACCAGAAACCAAATCCTGAGCAGACGCATACATGTCACCAAGATCCGGTAAAAATGCGCAAATACATGAAGTGCCAACTACAAACTAGGGAAGGCAACAAAAACGGCAAGCCTGAAGCCCCACCACCAACTGTGCCAGTTCCGGAACCCTGGTGAGGAACGTACCAAGAGTTGACCCAGAGATCAGGGACACCATCCAGGCACCCGGCCCCAACAGAAGCCAGACCACAGGCAACAGTCTTCTGAAGAGGTCAAAGAATCCAGGGCGCAGACTGAATAAATCCAGAAGAACAGCAGATCTGCAGATCCGCAAAGGCCCATGTCTGCATTAGAACAGATGGGAACCCTGGAGGGATGGGACGGATCGACCACGTCCAAATGCACCCACCAAGATGACATGTCATGTGGTGACAAGACGTCACCACAGCCGCCACACATCCGTTTAAGCAACCCCCCCCCACCCCTCCCCAGGAGAAGCACGGGGGGACCCAGACCTCCACACCGGCAACTTGCCTCACTTCAAGAGGCTGTAGTGATGGTGAATGGTAAATCGCTCTGGCTCCACTCTTTGCGCAGTGCTGCTTAGCGGTGTTGTTGCTTTGTGTTGGTGTGCGAGCCAGGAATATCACAAGAGTACTGGGGCTGCATGCGCCTAAAGCTACCTTCCCTAGGTGCCCCATAAGTACTGCTTTTGCGGTTTAGGGTTACCTATCTTCCTTGAGCCGTTCAGGAGCAGCTACCTCCGTGTGGTTCTGTCACTGCTCGGTAATTGCTCGCCCTTGGGGTTGTGCTGGGGTGGTTCTTACTTCTGTTTGTCCTTGGGTAGGAGGCAGTTTTGTCTCTGGCTGGGGCACAGGGTACTGTGCACCTGTATGATATATGCATAGCGAAGAGTTCTGTTCACCTGAAGACATTGTGCTTTTGAGTTTTGTTGTTGTTTGTTTTTGTTTTGATTTGCCTGGTGGGGGTCTGCCTAGAGTGGCGGTAAAACCACTTGTAGGATTTTGGTAGTCCTCCACTAGGTCCCCGTGCTTACACACGTCGGAGGGGTTCAGCTTTTAGTTTGTTTGCTGGTAGCGCTGAGATAACCAGTT